CTTTAGTGTGCTGGGATTAAAGGGGTGCAACACCATGCCTGGATTAAATCAGGTCCTTTTTTTTCCAAAGTCATTAAAAATGTTTTCTATTAGTGATGCTTTTTGCTTGAGAATTTTTCTAGTTTATTTATATTTTACATGTATTGGTTTTTTGCCTGCATATATGTACGTGATGTGCATGCAGTGCCCCCAGAGGCCAGAAGAGGATGTTGCACCCTAGGAACTGGAGTTACAGGTGGCTGTGAGCCACCATGGGTGCTGGGAGTCAAACCCAGGTCCTCTGGAAGAGCAGCAGTGCTCCTAACCACTGAACCATTTCTCCAGCCTGCCTGGGAATGTTTAAAGCTACATTTTATTTATTTTATTTAATGTGTATGGGCATTTTGCCTGCATGCATGTCTGTGCACCTATACATTCCTGGATACATACCAGGGGTTGGAGTTACAGACTGTTTTGAGCTGCCACATAGATTTTGGGAACTGAACCCAGGTCCTATGCAAGAGCAGCCAGTGCTCTAACTCCGGAGCCATCACTCTACCTCTAAGTTTTCTTAAAATGTTATTATTTTTAATTATGTGTGTCTGCTGTGGGTTATGTGCAGGTGTCCATGGAACCAGAGGAGCTGGAATGACAGATGGTTGAAATCCACCCAATCTGGGTACCAGGCACCAAACTCCGGTCCTCCGGAAGAGCATGCATGGTCTTACACGGACGCGTCTCTCTAGCCCCTTGCCTGAGAAAACGTTCTGGATATACTACGTATATAGGCACATAATAGAGACACACAGATGAAACATTTACTGATAATGTACCATGAGTAAATAACCCGATTGTTTAATGTACATATAACTTTATTTACTTATTATTGTGTGTGTGAATAATAAGTGTGTGGCATGTCACAGGGCATTTGTAGCGACCAGAAGACAAGTGTGTGGAGTCAATTCTTCCCTTTTCATCTGTTCTGAACATTGAACTTATGTTGGGGCTTGCGTGGCTAATGATTTTACCAATGTGTCATCTCACTGGCCCAATTTTATCATTTATTAAAAATGAATGCAATAGTATATGCTAATGGCATGGGAGTTCTTGTTTATTTTTATATAAAGAACACTACTTTGGGAAGCTGGAGATGGTTTAGTGGATAAGAGTGTTTGCTGCTCTTGAGGAAGACCCAGATTCAGTTCTCAGCACCCATGTTGGCTCACAACCTGTTAACTCCAGCTTTAAGGGATCGGATGCCCTCTTCTAGCTCTGTGGGCACCTGCACACACATATGTAAAATAAAATAATTTTTAAAAAAATTATACCTTTGCTGACTATTTGATACTGTACCATGTGGACCATCTTCAATGTTTTTCAGAACTGACAGATTTTTTGATTTTATAGTTGTCAATGCTGAGAATATCTCTTTTTACAATACACAGTACAAAATGGCAAAAGTATGTTTGGAGCCGTTTCAGAAATTGTTGGAAAGTTCGTTCTAATCCCAATTCATTTACTGATATTTTAAAATGAAACTCAAGTCAATGACTCTAACAACAGTTCTTAAAACCAAACACTCTAACACAAGCCAAAGCAAAGACATGCGCATGCTGAGCAACGACGGCGGGAAATATTCAAGTCTTTGTTTTCTGTAATTAAACCATTATGTTTAATATGTACAACAAACACTGCAATCCATAACAGACAATAGTCTTGGATCTGGGCCAAGGTGTTTCAGGCAGTGTGCACTGGCCCTGTGTGTGTGAGGACGCACACACTGAAAAGTCGTGCTGTGGGTTCCGAACCAAGGCTGCCGCCCAGCCACTTTGTACAACGTGGGCAAACAGAACAGAGACACCTTGGGTTCACTACACATTTGATTTTCAATTAATTTTTGATCATCGAATGTTTAGAAACTTTTATTATTCCTTTTTTTGTTGTTGTTGCGACTTTGGGTCTATAACCATCAGTTTAGGAAGCTCTTCCTTGGTTTCATTTGTGAGGATTAAGGAATCCTCACAGAACTGGATCGAGGTATCCTTTTGTTGCCCTCTCTTGAAAAATATGAAACACTTTAGGCATTCAAAAAAGTATGGTGAAAAACATAACAACTTTTTACAGTCATTTCTTGGCTCAAGCATTTGAAATATAACTCAACAGTATTCTCCATTTCATATTAATAACAGTGTATTACCAGTCTAAAATACAGGGTTTGCATATTTTCAGGTCTCTTGTTTTTAGCAAGTTTATTCCATCAATATATTAATTTTTATTTTATTTTCATTGTCTTAAGGAAGTCAATTGTGTATCATTGGCAAAATGTGCTAGGTACAGATTGTGGGAGTCTGAGATGGATACTAATTAGCAAATGTGGGAAGCAGCTCTAAACACTGGGGACAAGACTGTTAATGTCTTAACTCACTTGACCTTGGTTAACACTTGCCTCTGGTACCAACTCACCCACTCCTTTTCTGAGAACAGTGATTTTCTAGACCCACTAAGAGCAAAAGGAAAGAGGCACGTTACCTGTCGACACTGAGAGCGCAGAGATTCAAGACGGTGATGCCCACGGAGGATTTCTGTAAAAAGGGGAACAGCTTGCAGAGAAACACTCCAAAATCGTTGTGGTCAAAAGGCCAGCGCCCCGCCAACAGCTGCAAAGATGAGATGGGAATAAGACATGGGGCTGGCCCAGCGTGCACCCCCCCTTGTATCCCCAGTTGCACTTTTATTAGTGTGTGTGAACACGTGACCAGATATTGAAGGTTTTCTCCTTTCAAAAGGGCTTTCAAACCCCTCCCGCTTTCTGAAGAGCTTTTGAAAGAGTCTTTCCTTCGATCCAACCTGACCCCGCCTCTTCCTCATGGCACTATAACTGTCTCAACCGGCTCATCAAATTTTCACGTAAACTTTGTCCCAGGACATCCACAGGCTCTCCACTAAAATGCTGCTCTGAACTCTGACGTTATTGTGAACTCCATGAATAATTACATGACTGTGACTGCCTAGTGACTGGTGCAGGTAAAGGCACAAGACACGATTTCCGGGCTGCATCATCTTAGAAAGACAAGGATCGTGGTTTTAACGCCAACTTGCCACAAACTAGAATCAGCTGGAAGATTGGGAGATCTTTCCACTCGCTCTGTCTTAGCAGTAAGACCGGAGCAAAACGAGAGGGCGTCATAAAGGCAACAGCACAGTGCACAGCTTCCTGACTTTTCTATTACATTTATTTATTTATTTATTTATTTATTTACTTATTTATTTGTGTATGTGTGTGTGTGTGTGTGTGTGTGTGTGTGTGTGTATGTATGTATGTATGTGTTACAGCAAGTGTGGAGATCAGAATTGGTTCTCTGCTTCCACCATGTGACCCCAGGGAATAACTCAGGTTACCCAGTTTATGGCAAATGCTATCAAGGCCCCAAACTTCCCACCCAGAGGCAACCCTTGCTGATAGCTCTGTGTTTTCTTACTGAAAACTTGCAAATGTACATACAAACTTTGTCTTTTTTTTTAAACAAGGCAAAAGTACTTTAAAAATTTTATTGTGTTTTCTTTTTCTAGGGTAATTGAATAGGAAGCACTATTACCTAGGCCGAAGGTCTCGGGGCTGAAAAATGCTTTAATGACACAGTTTAAGCCAGGACCACACTTGGTTAGCAGCGGTTTAGTACGGTATCTTGACCACGGAAAAACAACTGCTGATTTCTTTAGTGTCAGCAATCGAGGATCAAGTCCACGGTAGAAACAACAAACAAGTTGTTGAGTCAAGCTGGTTCACAGGGTCATTTTGGAGCATGGGGCGTCATAGCTTATTTTTATTGCCATAAAAAGGCCTGTGTTATGAAATTTCCATGTTTGTGTCTCTTTGAGAGCACCATGTGGTACCTAGAGAGAGTCAGTACTGAATGTATCAGTGGCACCTACTCACTCCTGAACCAGTCAGTGACTCTAACTCGTGAATTCAGGATCATGTTTTCATGTTCTGAAATAACAGTGTGCAGGCTTGGAGAGCATAATTACTCGGTGATTTAATTTCTATTTCCAAGGTATCAGTGCTCCAAAGTAGCATTTCCATTATTTTGTTAAGTGAAATGATACCTAGGCTGAGAGGGGAAGTGGCAGCCTAGGTTACAGGGTGGTTGTTTGCCGTAAACCCTCCTTTGGGTGGTGGGTACATCGCTTCCTAGGAGGTCCACGCAAGGCCAGAGATGATGCACGTCCTGTGGGATCCTTATCTTTCTGCAGAGTTCAGAGGAGCACTGCACACTCCAGAGGACAGTCCTCTCAGCAGGAGGCACTGGCCTTGCTGTAACCAGCTGAAGCATATGCACATTCTAAGATGGCAAATTGTGTGGTTGATTTGGATTGTGTCAAGTGAACATCATAAAATCGACAGGGTGTCTTTTTCTTAAACCTGCCAGACACAGGTTATAAATGCGTATAATTTGATGCATGCATGAGGGCCTGTTTTCAGAAGGGCTCTGTTCCCCAGGCACCTTTTATGTCCACTTCTGTATGTTGTATTTTTCTGCAAAGCAGTATCTTATTTGGTATGCACAATGTCAATTTGTGCTGCTTTTCCGGAACATGCCTGACAACCAGAAATAAGGGCAAAGTCTGGCACAGGATAGACGACATGAGATCACACCCTAGTGATCCCTGCTTACTGCGTAGGTAAAGGAAGCCCCCATCATAGGTAGGCTTACTGTTACTTCATATCCAATGCTACAAGCTTAGGTTTTCTTCTTTAGTTTATTGCAGATTCACCAGCAGAAACACCTCTGAGCAGTAGTTCTCAATATTGGTTTGTATAAAGATTAAGGGAGCTAGTGAAAAAAAATCCCAGCACTTGGGGCACTACCCAGACCTGTGCTGATCTTCCAGGGGGAATGTTGTATCTCTCGGGGATATGTGACAATATCAGAATCTTCTGGGTATTAAAGACTAGGAGAGATGTTCCTGACATCTGGGAGGTAGATGCTGAGGATGTTGCTAATATCTTGCAAGGCACAGAGCAGTATCTCTTCCAAATAACCACCCAATGCAGGAGGTTAATGCTGCTGAGGTTGAAGCATACCATCCCAGGAACTACTCCAGAATCTTTGGAGGGGGACAGAAGGAAAGGGAAGATGTGTGGGCAGCTAGGCTGGCTGCTTTGGGGGAACTGAACAGCACAGAGGTACCGGGAGGGCTCCTTACCACACAGACTGCTGCACTGTTTCCTAGAACTTGTGACTCAGCAGCTCGGGGGTTGGGCTGAAGTGAAGCATGGGCATTCCTAACTGCCAAGAGGCTCAGATGCTGCGTCAGAACCATTACTCTAGGAGCATCGAGAAAGGGAGCTGGTAGCCAGTTAGAACAGGATGAGCAGATATATATATTACACACACTACATTCACAAGGGAGAAAACCACCCTAATAGTTTGGGGCCGTGTGCCTTCCGGCTCATGTCCCTTACTGTCCTAAGGACATGGCACAGAGGTATTCAGTCAAAGCAACAAGGACTCTAGTGTTTGGGCCTCACTGGCTTGATGCTCTTTGTTCATTCCTATGCTCAGGACAGGGTGAAGAGGACCCATCTCTGCATGACCTAGTGTGAGCTCCTTAACTTATTGGAACTCTATTTCTTGCTAGTCAAATGAGGATGGTCTCACACCTGCCACAGTGGTGCAGTGGCCATTTGGGAGGCTCAGTCAGGACTATGCTAATGTGGGAATTCTGCCAACTGAACACACACTGTCAATGCTATTATTTTCAATTTCTATAATTTGTAAACCCAAGTTGAAATATATGTGCCATTTACATATGACTCTAATGAGAAAAACGGGTATTGTGAGTAATTGTACCCATGTTTTCTGATTCCAGATGTTAATATCTGCCACCACTTAATCTCATCATTCAGGCATTGTTTTTGTCATTGTCACCACATCTTAAAACCGTACACGGAAAACCAGCAGCAGCTTCTCCTCTGTCCCGACCCCAACCCCCCCCACAAGGCTGAGCGATTTTTCCATTTCCCTTTGTCTCACCCGCCCATCCCAGACAGGAAGGAAGGATTTATGAATATAGTCTGCAATAGCTAAACCTCGGCGTTTGAAGAATGTTCTCTTCCCCTGGAACATATTATTGTGGGTCACTTGGAAGCAACAGACAGTAGTCCTCCAAGAGCAGAGACTGACTTCTCTCTTATCTTCCCCTCCTCTCCCTTCCCCTCCCCTCCTCCTTTCCTTTCCTCGCTCTCCTCTCCCCTCCCCTCCCCTCCTCTCCTCTCCTCCTCTCCTCTCTTCTCCTCTTCTCTCCTCTCCTCTCCCCTCCTCTTTTCCTCTCCTCTCCTCTCCCCTCCTCCTTTCCTCTCCTCTCCTCTCCTCCCCTCCTCTCCTCTCCCCTCCTCTCCTCTCCTTGCTTTACTTTTCTCTCCCTCCATTCTTTGAGAGGAGTTGGGATATACACGTTGTTACCCAATCAAGCCAGTAGAAGAGAAGACTATGCCCCCACCAGCACAGACTGAAATGGTTTCAAAGCCTGTGACACCCAGGCAGGTCTTTTAGTGAGAACATGAGTTCCGGTTATTGAAGATCTCCAGCCAGACTATAAAATCAGTCACTCTTATGACAGGGAACGGGTTTTGCTCTTCCACTATGCCTTAATTGCTTCAGGATTGAGGCGGAGCTATCACACAAATGTAAAAACTGGCTTCTGTGTCATCCACACACTTTTTGTTGTCAGGTTCCTCTCACCTCCGGTAGTATGCGGCATTCAGAGAAGGAGCATGCTGTTCTGGTCTGGCTGTGTGTGCTCTCAGGGACATAGGGACAACAGAGGACACCTGGTTTCAGCTATGGACTGGGTCTGACCTGGGCCACCTTCTGACCCATGACTCAGGCACACTGGGTCACTCTTCTGTCTTCTCCTGTCTTCCTTTATAAACGGTGGTAGCTGCAGTAGCCTCCTCAAGGGACTAATGACTGTGGGTAGCAGCAGAGATAATTCAGAGCTTAGGACGAGAAAGGTCTAGAAATATGAACTTTGTCAACAATGGCCCATAGCTAGCTCTATTTTGGGTCTCATTTTGCTAAGGAAGTACTGTCACTGACAAATATCCCGGACAATCAGATTTAAAGGGAGACTCGTGGTGGCTCACGGTTTCAGAGTCTGTGGCGTTCTCGTTGCCTTCGGTCCTACCATGAGGCAGCCAACACTTCAAGGCAGGGAGTGTGCTGGAGCAAACTGCTCACCTCATGGCAGACCTGAAGCAAAGACAGAGGAAGAGGAGGGGCCAGCGCCACACAGACTTCGTTGAGGACACGCCCCCAGTGACCCAACTTCCTCCTTCTAGACTTTTCCTTAGGGCTCTACCACCCCACAGTGCTATGGCCGGGAACTAAGCCTCCAATGCCTTTTGGGTGCGTTCAAGATCCAAACTAGAGCAGATGGTAAAGGAAGAGTATGTGGGTACCTGGTACAGCGTGGCAGCAGACCTCACTGAAGCCAAAGACCCCCCATTCTCAAGGAACTTATTGTCTAGGAGACAGGCAGAAGTCACGGCACCTGAAGCTCTAAGCTACACACCAGGACCTCCACAGAAGGACAAGCTATGTGATCTTACCACGAAGAGCACACAGCCCTGTTCCTCAGTGGAAACTCTGGT